TTTTTTTTGTAGCCCTTTTGAACGGGTACAGGCAGACTGGATAGTCTGTCTGGCAGATGGGGGCGGGTGGGAAACAGTGCGGCAGTGTATATTTCCATGTTCCAACGGGTACAGGCAGACTGGATAGTCTGTCTGGCAGATGGGGGCGGGTGGGAAACAGTGCGGCAGTGTATATTTCCATGTTCCAACGGTAGATTCATTCGATTTTGCTCATCCTATAGATGGAAGCGGCGTGGGGTAGTGCCAGGCAGGTTGGTCTCTCTGTGTGTGTGTGTGTGTGTGTGTGTGTGTGTGTGTGGATGTATAGTCCCGCATACCGACACTAAATCCATTACATTCCCCATCCTATTGATGGGAAGTCACCCCTTACAGTCCGTTCGTCAAAACAAAGGGGCGTAAGTCCAGCTCACAAGAGGAGAATATAAGACAAAAGAATCTGAAAAAAAGAAATCTAAAGCAAATCTAAAAAGTCTAACGAAGAAAACAAAAAAAATTACCAAAAAAAAAACAAAAAAAAATGGTAGCTCGTTTAAAACGGGCACCGTCAGTTGAACTGAGGGCTGAAAGCCCCAGTCAGTTCTCACAGCGCCATGTGGCGCTCTTGTTTCAGTTATATATATATATATTTTTTTTTTCCTCTGTTGGCTTTGCCCACAGTCACCTTCCCTTGTGGCATGCCCACGAACTGTTGAAATACAGACTCGAGTTCGAGTCCCCACGGCGGCCGAGATTAGGCCTCGCCGTATGGGCTGCTCCAAAAGGAGTCAGCCCAGAGTCGCACGCAGATTTGATCCCTGCGTCTGCAGGGTGAAAGTCTGATGCTGCAACCTACTGGGCTGGCTCCCATTCCACACCAGAATAGGAGCTGCTCTTCTGTATGAAGAGCTCAGCCCCTCATACCCTTACGTGGCCCCACACAGGCTTTGCCCGCACCCCTTAACATCCCCAATTCCGGACGGGGCGCGACGCTATCCGCATGGTGGCATCCCGTCGACCTAGCACGCATGCCACGACTCTGGACACGGCGCGCTCACCTGTGGAGCCCCTCCAAGTCCTAAAATCGCGCGGTCGCCACTTTTGAGGTGGTGTGCGTCTAATCCGAATATCCCCACTGCCGCACACGCCTACGGCCCTGTCGAATGCCGCGGCCAATGGTGATTCCCTCCATTATCGCTACTTCAACTAGATGCCAATCGGCGTCCTACATTAAGGTCACCGCATGTCGACGGTGCCAACGACGTCAATAATGCTAGCAACGTTACCGTCATCATGCCTCAACATCATCAACTTCAAACATTTTAGGTTGGTCTGAATAAACTTTGACAACGTCAATCTCATCAAGTTTCTTAATCCAGCGAAATAGAGTCGGACAACGTCCGATCTTGAAACACTCGGGCAGAAACCCTCTCAGGGTTTTTTGTCCCGACAGCGCTCAGCATGGCTATTGGCGTGCAATAGCACTTAGCGCACAACAACGGCAACACGCAACCACAACGGGCGCAGTCAGCAAAGCATGCAAAGTAGCGACGAGCGACAGACAGATAGCGTGCGGTGGCAATAGGCGGTTACGCTGCTTCAAACAACGGTGCGTGCATGATCGGCGGGTAAAGCAGCACGCAACAATCAGGTGCGCACTGAGGCAGCAGGATCCAGCGTGATAGCTAGCGGGGCGTGGGGCGATAACGCTCGCTGGTGCGCGGTCCAGCATCGGACGCGCTCGGCGGCAATGACGCGCAGCTGCTCGCTATGAGGATAATGGTGTGCGCAAATGGTTACGTGGTGCCCCCCCTCCTTCTTGTAGAGCGCGCTGACTTGGCGCTTTGGCGGGCGCCTCTCCCTTCTCTCTTAACGACACGCAACCTTAGCATGCAGCGCCCCTCCTCTCTCCTCAGTTGCAACGGTGGCGTTGACGTGGAGCCCTTCTCCCTGACAACGACGACGGCGAAGGTCACAATCGCAATGATGATATGGCGGGTGACGATCGCGATGATGACATGCCAGACGATGATCGCGACTTGCAGGGACAGTGGGAACCAGCTCTGATACCAATGCAATCAGACAAATCTTATTCGATACTTGGCTTGCATGCAAGCATATGACGATCAAGCTGGCGACTTGTGCCCACACAAAGCTCAGAGATAACGGAGCCTAGAACACCATTCGATTCAAATTTGTCTCGATTGGCTATGACCGATCACTGTACTGTCAACAACTTGTTCGCATACACACCCTGGATCTCCTTGGATGTCCTGCTGTCGAGCGCATCGGCTCCCATCACCATGTCCGCTCACAATAGCCACACCAACATGTCGGTCCCGATCACAACAACCAGTCCCAACTAGTCCCAAAATGAGCCAGATGGTCCCAATGTCGTCCCACACCATCTCCCGCAGTACCAGATGGTCCTGAACTCAAATCCCGCTTGCACTGCGCACCGTAAAAAAAATAAACCTGGCTGAAAACCGCATGTGTCGCAAGCCTCAAAAAATAAAGATTTCTTTCTGGCGCAAACCGCAAGTGCCGCAAGTCCAATAGCCTCTGCTGCGAGCACTCACTTCGTGCCACCTTCACACCGTTGGTCCAGGAATCGCTACCGCACAATTCCAAACGAGCACCAGCATTAGTATCCACGGAGCTGCCGCTCGCCGCGTACTCAAATTCGGTAGAACGCCACCGTGCCAAAAAACATTAGCAGCGTAACCTCACAAAAAAAACTTCGTACCACGCCGCCGTGCCAAATAATGTTAGCAGCAGTTCCCACCATAGTGTCGCTGCTGCCATACCAAAATTTTAGCAGCGTAACGTCACAAAAAAAACATCGCCATTGCCGTGCAGTAAAACGATCAGCTCCTCCCCTTAGGGAGACCTTGATGCAACTACGCCATTAGCTCGGCAGCACCCCCTCCATCCAAATGCCGTTGCCGCCACCGCCGTGAAAAACCGGCTGCGCACCACTACCATTAAAACCCGTGCTGCCGCCGCAAAAATTCAGCAGCGCTTCCGCGTCACTGTCAAAAAAATCATAGCTGCGGTCAAAAAAAATTGGCATGCAACTACGCCATTAGCTCAGCAGCACCACCTCCATCCAAATGCCGTTGCCGCCACCGCCGTGAAAAACCGGCAGTGCTTCCGCACCACTACCGTTAAAACCCGTGCTGCCGCCGCAAAAATTCGGCAGCGCTTCCGCGTCACTGCCAAAAAAATCACAGCTTCCGTCAAAAATATTCGGCAGCGCTACCGCAGCACTGCCAAAAATACATTGCTGCCGCCAAGCAAAACGGGTGGAGTCTCCCTTGCACCGCTTGCCGAAGACCTGCCGCCGCCCTGCAAAACGGACAGAGTCTCCCCTGCACCGCAACAAAAATAGCTGCCGCCGCCGCGCTGTGCAGGCAGCACCTTCCTTGCACTTCACCAAATGAAGTGGTGGGTATGGCTGCCTCCACTTCCGCGCCCACTGCAGACCCCCACTCTCCACCTTCTTCTCACTCTCTACTCCAGCAGCATGCAGCAGCCAGCCAGCATTCAAGTGAATGCCCCAGCAGCACTGCCACAAGTGTGAGGCTGTTGGGTGGAGTGTTGGCTTTTATAGCTAGCTGATGGCAGTGGGCAGCTGCCTTGCCCTCAGCCAAAAACTCGTAATTGTTCTGAGCCCTTGATGTAACTCATGATCAAGGGTCAGAATCCTTGATGTTCCCCTAGGGGAACCAGGGTCTCCAGTTCCTAGAAGTATCTGGCCACCCTCCCAGGCCACATACTTCTAGAAATGCCCATACCCAGCCATTCTCTGCAGCCTGTTCAAAAACGAACAGGTGCAGTCCCATCAGCCCCTAGAAGCTTCTGGGGGCTGCACCTGTTCCATGGCCGCGGCCACATTCGAGGCCGTTACATTTTTCTCCTTTCCTCTTTTTTTTTCTTCCTTTTTCTTTACTTTTACTTACCTTTTCGTTTCCTTTGGGAGGGGCAAGTCGTTTTTTCGAAACGAGCAGCCTCTCCCCCCCCCCCCCCCCCCCCAAAGTCATTTTATAGAGTCGAACTAGAGTCTAGCTCGAAAAAATGAGCAGCCTCTCCTCCCCCCCCTAAGTCATTTCATAGAGTCGAACTAGAGTCGAGCTCAAAGGGGTTTGTTTCCCCAAGCCTGCGCCTGTATTTGAGCCACATAGGCGCCCGATACAGGCGCACAGCCCATGACCCTGACTTGCCCATCCCTTTCAACAAGACCCTTCCGAATGCGGCTCCATTGCACGGCAGGTGCAGTTGGCGAGTCAGTCCATCCGGAGATGGACTGTCGGGGCTCAGCCCCCTGATGAGTCGGTGAAAGTCCGACGAAACAGTTCGGCTCAGTCAAGCTTTCGTTTTGCCCGTTCGTTCGAAACAGAACAGAATCTAAGAAAGTCAATTAGAAGAAAAAAAAAAACAAAAAAGAATAACCTACCTAACTCGGCTGCCCGTTTTCAATGGGCGCCTGTCAAATCGCAGTGACTTCATAACGCGCCAGATGGCGCCTCACTTTTTCTCTCCCTTTTTTTTTTTTTTTTTTTTTTTTCCCTTCTTCCGTGTCTCTGACCCAGCGGCTGGCTTTTCAGTGCGCCGTTTCGCCCTAATGGCAAAAAAACCTAGGGAGATATTCCGGGCGCCCGAGTCCCGATGTCACGCCTGGATTGGCGACCGGGTGACTGGCCGGGCATGACCCCCGGGCATGGCCCCGGGCAGCCTCAGCGCAAAAAAAAAAAAAAAAAACAAAGAAATCAAATTAAAAAAAATCTGAAAAAAAATTATGTTGTGTCAAGGCTGGGCCAGCAATCGGCCGGATCACCTGCCTCGGTCCAACCAGGGCAGGAGCGGTCCAGGGGGGGTGAAGCGGCAAAACCGG